AAATATACTGTCTTTTGTGCTAAAAATTACAAAAGTGTTATTCAAATGTTCACTTCAACTACCAACATGGTTCCAACCTTCTATAAAATTAAGTGGGATAAAGTACTGCAATTAAAAAATAAATAATGTAAAAAAATAGAACAAAACTGGTAAAGGAATAATATCAATTCATAGGTTATTGCACTGAGCAAGTTTGTGAATGTAGCATGTATCGAGCAGCTCAGAAGGTGCAGAGCCCAAAGTTGCCCAGGTCGAGGGTAACCATTTGCATACTAATACATGTACACGGTGCCATATGAGTAGAGGAGTGTATTCACTTTATTCCTTCCAATCTCCTGAGAACCTCCAACTCTGTAGGTTCTCTAGGAGGGATACTGTAAGTATTTTTAGAATTCAATATTTGAATTTTCACTTTTTTTTTTTGAAGGATATTTAAAGATTTAATTAAAAAATAATTAAAATGTCCTTAGGTGAAAATGTATCCATATTGTATATTACTGGATAATTTCTACTTCATTTGCATGCCACTGGCTAGAATTTATGTCAGATATGTTCAGTATCTCAAAATGAAACTATTTCTTGCTTTTGAGTGAATATTACATGGCAGAGGTTTCACAAATCCAATTCTATACCGTTATCACAGCTTACATTCACTTTATAATATAAGCTTTTCAGCTTGTAAAATCCATAAATAACCACATTAAATCCTGGATTGTATTAGACGTCTGCAATAAAGAATGTTTTTAAAAAAACCACTATGTGTTTTCTGCTTCTGAAGTTTGTTAAAATGCGATGTTATTTTATAAATGCTAGTAATTTTTTTCTCCAGTATTGTGTACTGTCTCACCCCTCACCAAAGTTACCACTTATCTACTGTCTGTTTAGTGTTCCTCCATCCCCACCCCTCCCCAGTGCTAGTAAATTTTAAAGTGGGAAAGTGAAGTTTTTAATTACTAGCTTACAAAGTTAAAAGTACTCAAATGAACATGGCAAAATTAGGGTTCATTTAATCCCTAAAGGAAATTAACTACAGCTCTGCCTGATCATGTTAAATATATGTTTTAAATATTTATTTGTGAAAAGTATGCAAAAGAGTTTATAACAATTTTGCTTTGGGAAGACAATAGATTTCAAGTACGTTTTAATTAATTATTAAGTAAGATAGTTTATTAATTTAGAATTTGCACTAATTAGCTCTCTTTTCAGGTTGCTTAGAAATCAAATAAAAGGTACGAATATGTGTTGATTCAAAGATAACCTGAGGGAAAATCTGTAGTAGTCGGATAGTTCAGGGAACAGCAGCAACATGCATCTGTAATTGTGAAACCCTAAATTTGAGTGAAAATGAAAAATAATTATATTGCTAATTTAAATGAAACTCTTCATTAATTTATGTATGTAAATATATATTATATAAAAATACTGGAAATTCAAAGATGAATTTAAAGATGTGTCTGCCCTTAAATATTTTATGGTCGGGGAACAAAACAGATAAGTAAACCAGTGGAATGTGATAAAGTATTTGGATGAAAATAAGGACAAAATACAAAGGGAGCATTTATGAAGTCTGTTTCGTTCGGCTGAGAAATAAGCCCCTTGTAATAACGTGTTGAAGGAGCCCTGGTGGCACAGTGATTAAGTGCTCAGCTGCTAACTGAAAGGTTGGTGGTTCTAACCCCACCAGCCGCTCTGCAGGAGAAAGATGTGACAGTCTGCTTCTGTAAAGATTACAGCCTTGGAAATCCTATAGGGCAGTTCTTCTCTATCTTACAGGGTCACCGTGAGTCAGAATCAATTGACAGCAGCGGGTGGTGGTGGTGAATACATGCTGATAATATTTGCCTTAAGTTTTAAGTAAAATAATGTTCCTTATATATTTTGAATAACAAGCTTTATTCAGAGTAGTTGTTGGTATTTGTGGGGCGATTTCAAGAAAGCATAAAAGTCTCTCTCACCTATACCTCACTTCCAAGAAAACTTCCGTCTATATCTCTTGATACTTCCCTGGGATTCTACAATGATTTTACTGTTCTACCTATTAAAAGCAAATAACACTGTGAGGTAACCCATTAGATATTAGAATTAATTTATGCTTCGTATTAATTTATTCATAAGCCAATTCTATTCATAGTCAAGTTTTGATGGGAGGAGAATAATGAGATATGTTGATTTGATATTTCTTTTAGTTCTATCAGTTTCTCTTTATATGTAATTACAATTATATATGAACTGTAATTAGGTGAAAATTGTATAGATTTATAATTGTAAAATATTACTCGTAGTTGCCCTTTTTATTACTATGAAATATTCTTCTTTAACTTTAGTAATACATCCTGCCTTAAAGTCTAATATGTCTCATGTTGATATACATATACCAGCTTTCTTTTGGTAGTGTTTTCATGGTATAAAATTTCCATCCTTTACATATTTCTATGCCCTTGTATTTAAGGTGTGTCTCTTTTACAGTGTTTGCCTTTTAATTGAAGTTTTAGTACACTTACATTTAATGTAATTATTGCTATGTTTTAAGTTTATATTTACCATCTTACTGTGTATTTTCTGGTTCTCCACCTCTTCCCCTCACCCCCTGAAATTTTATATAATTTTCTATCATTTTTTCCTTTAGGATTAATAAACTATGTGTTTTTATTCCACTCACCCCCCAACACACACACACCTTAGCTAGTTATATATTCTTTACTATTATTGTAGAGATATAACATATACCTTAAACTGAATTGTCTAATATGCATTAGTATTTTTACCCCTTTCTATTTAAACTCTCATGCCTTTTGTCTTGCATTTTAGCTTTATCTTAAACCTCACATGACATTATTATTATTACTTTATACAGTTGATATTCATTTATATTTGCTCACATACTTAAAATTTTCAGTACTCTTTATTCCTTCCTGCATTTCTGTGTTTCCATCTGAGATAATTTGCATTCTTCCTGAAGAAGTTCCTTTAGTATTGTTTTGTACTTGCTTTTGTTACTAACGCTGCAGATATCTTTATTTCATCTTCCATTTGAGGGACATTTTGCCTTCTGAATAACGTTGTAGAAGGTATTTTCTTGCAGTGCTTAAAAGATATCATTTCATTGTCTTCTGACTTCCATGATTCCTTTGAAGAGAAAAGCTGACAGCCTTATTGTTGCTCATTGATGGCATTCTTTCCTTATTCTTTGGTTGGTTTCAATACTTTATTTTTCTTACAGTGGTTGTCAGAAAATTTACTGTGATATGCCTAAATATGATTTTCTTTATTTTTACTTTGTTTAAAGTTAGAAAATTTCTTGAATGTATGCCTTGATATAGTCTATCAGTTAGGGAAATTCTTGGCCTACTCTTTTTAGATATTGCTTCTCCCTCATTCTCTGTCTCTTCCCCTTGTATGACTCCGATTACACATCTATTAAACCTTTTATGTTGCCATTTCCATATCTTTTATTCTTTTCTGTATTTTCCTTCCTATTTACTTTTTCATGGTTCAGCCTAGATAGTTTTTACTGACCTGTCTTCCAATTCACTAACCCCTTTTGACCGACCTGTCCAGTCAGTTGTGGAATATGTTTACTTGGTTTTTAATTTCAAGTTTTTACATTTTCCTCTCTTAAATTGTCTTTTTTCAAAATACTACTTCCTGTGTGAAGTTCACGTTCACGTTATGAATGTTTTGAACGTATTAATCATAGTTATTTTAAAGTTTGATAGCTATACTTACTGGGTTATGTGTGGATCTCTTTCTGTTTTCTCGAATCTTTTTTCTTAGCATGCCTGGACTTTTTGATCAAAAGCCAGGCATATGAAAAATTGTAGAAGCTGTGGTTGACATCATCCTCTAGAGAGTGTCTACCATTTGGTAGATGGATAGAGTGAGGAAAAATCACCTTCATCCAAATCAGTAGCTGAGGTAACTCAAGGCTGGGTTGATTGTCTTCCTCTAGTTTGCCCCACTGGTAACTGTAGCCCTCAAGAAGTTCCAGTCATATTCTGGAGGTATTCACAAGGGCTTCTTCTTCTTTAGCCATTCCTACACTCTAATTTTTTTTTTTTTTCTCGACCATGAGGTGCAGAAAGCACTCTTCTGCTTTACAGTGGTTTTCTGTTTAGATTCTTAGTCTTTTGTCCTATGCAGCTTAAGAATTAAGCTCATTTCTCTCTACTTTCTTCTGCTCCAGGTTCCTGGCCTCTTCCACTTCCTAACCACAAAGTCTCTCTAGTCCTAGAAGATTGCCAGTATCTCTGTTGATGTCTCTTTTGAGCATTGACCTTCTTTAAGATTCATAGCTCTTTCTTCTTCTGCTAAGTAGAAAGTGCTCTCAGGGAAAAAGTGACTCCTGAACTATCATCTCACCTCTGCTCTTCTTTTCTGTCTGAAATCTTGGTCTCTCCAGTGCTTCAAACAAATTTTTTTCAGATTTTATCCTTGAAAGCCAATGTATCATAACCAAAAGTCAACAAATTATTTACTGAATGTCTACCATGCACCAGGAATAGTGCTGACTGCTGGTAATACAATGGAAGGTGTCTTTAAAAAATACCCAAAACATATAGTATATGTGTGTGTTTATATATATGACACATTCCTTGACTCAAGGAGCTAATGTTCTACTGCCTAAAATGAAAAAATGACACATAAACAGGTAGATCAGCAGCGGTCATGTTAGAGGCAGACAAAGTATGCTGTGGGAGCTCAAAAAAGGAGTAGGATACTTAACCTGGCCTAGAGGTGAGAGTCAGGAAGGTGGGTCAGGAATGCTTCCTAGAGGAGGTGTCACCTTAGAAAGCAATTTCCAAGATTAAGAACGAGCTAGTCAGGCATAAGTCATCATCTACTTGACTTTATAGAACTTCTAAGCATGTCATATTATGATGATACTTTATTACTCATTGCTTTTGTAAAACACTAATGAGTTTGAAACTTATTAAAAATATGTTTTGAGCATGGAAAAGATAGTCTTAAAATTGTAACCATGGCAATTGATTTCTCCACAGGTGTTCAAAGCAATGAATATCCCACAAATCAGAAATCCTTCTCTACCTCCCCCAGAAAAAATGCCTGAAGCCTATTCTGCAAAGATTGCTCTTTTTGGTGGTGGGCCTGCAAGTATAAGTTGTGCTTCCTTTTTGGCTCGATTAGGCTACTCTGACATCACTATATTTGAAAAACAAGAATATGTTGGTGGTTTAAGGTAATGCCTATATTTATTTTATGTTTATAGTGACAAAAATGGTGGGGTAAAACAATTATGAATATTATTGGTTCATTATCATATAGAAATTTCAAGCTCACAGATGGTATTTTAAATGTTCTTTTTCCAAATGTTCAAATTTTGATTACATTACTCACTTAAATTTTCCAGTTGGCTTCAAGCAATATTTATTTAAAAATTTCTCTGCCTAATTCTATGAATTTAAGATGAATCTCAGTAAAATATTTTATGGATACCAATTATAGGAAAAATTGTTTTATCCCTGTGAATCTTTCCTTTAATGAAGATGTATCTGAAAATCATGGAAATTAGAGATGGGAAAAAGCTAGTTCTGTAGAATATTAGGCTATTCATTTTTTTGTTACATAATTCCTGCTCACAGATTTTCTGTTTATAATCTCCTCAATCTTGCATGTGATTACAAGTATGTCAGAGTTTATTGAAAATGTTCTGTTCTAATATATGTTTATGCAGTGTTTGTCCCATTAATACCTTATTAATATTTTATATTAATCAGCATCATTGTTTTAAGCAAGGATTCAGTCTCATAATCATTTTATTCACATGACAATTCATATATTGAAATGGAAAATATTCACTTTATATCAGTGACTTTCAGATATTGAAATCAAGCTTAGCAAATAGATGGAGTTAGCTTAATTTAAAATAAGGGCAACTCTATAGTGGATGCATATTACATTTATGATCACAGAGAAGTAAAACTTATTACGAGTAGTGAGTGGATATAGCTTAAAACATTTGATGTAAAAATAAAAAATAATTTGGGTTAATAATATTGCTCAATTTGTTAATTTGCCTAAATGTGCCGTCTTGTGTAAGAAAAAGTACGTACGACCATTCGGCCTATCTCTTGCTATATTGAGAATTTAAATTTGGGATGGCTACTGAACCATTCTTTGTATTTATCATATTTAGTCATCACTGAATAAATTTAATGAAGTTGTGACTATAATTTGTGCTTACATTTTTTACGTTTTTCTGGCACCTCTAAATATTTGTTAATAAATACATAAAGTTGAATATTGGCCAAATGAAAATATGCTAAACCCAAGATAAGCTGTCATTAATGTAAAACTATTTAACAGAATCATCAGGCAGACATATCACATAGTAGGAAGACCCTTTAGAGAAGATATAAAGACTCAATAAAGCTGAAGAGTAAATAGCCTGATTGTCAAGAAGTAATTATTTCTCTGTATTGATGTTTCACCACTAGGAGTTTTAAGGGATTACATGTATATATTTATTTATTTTTCCTGGAAAGTAAAATACCCAATACATTATTTTGCTGGATTTAGACTATCTTTTTTAATGGTATTTTACCCCAGCTTAATTAATTAGAAAAAACATAATCTATTAACAACATATGTATAAGCATTGTACATTTTTTTCAATTATACACATCAGTGAATATGTGAGCTAATTTAAAAAGTATGAACTGAATTGTTGTGTACCCTAGAAAAATAGAAAAAAAAATCTTTGCCCCTTAATTGCCTTTTCACAAGAAGACTAAAATGGAAATAGCCCTGTTTGGGAATTATTCTGTGTTGACAGTTTTGGTAGATGATTATTATGATTGTTAGCATCTCTATCTCTTTTTAAACTCAAATGCAAACTAGGCATCTAAATTATATAAATTGGCCCTAAACTTGTACCTGTATATATTTGCTGAACATTTTCTAGCAGGGCAGATAACACTTGAATTAATGACCAAACTTTTCTTTTTTACTTATTTCCTTTCCTTTGTCTTTGATTCTCAGTATCTAGGGACAATATGAAGCATTTAATCTTCCCCTGGATTGTCCCATGGTAGAGGTATTCTGGGTCACTATTATTAAAAACAAACAAACCCGTTGTCGTTGAGTTGATTCCGACTCCTAGTGACCCTGTAGGGAAGGGTAAAACTGCTCCACAGGGTTTCCAAGGCTATAAATCTTTACAGAAGCAGACGACCACATCTTTCTCCCATGGAGAGGCTGGTAGATTCAAACTGCTAAACTTTCAGTGAGCAGATAAGCACTTAACCATGACGCCACCAGGGCTCCTTGTCACTATTACAGGATTATAAAAACTGATGCTGGAATTTAAGCAGAATTATAGCCACAACACTTTCTTGTTAATTTATTTTCTCACTTACAGATGTCTCTCATTCTCTTGTATCTCCAAAGTAGCTAAAAAAGATTAAATTAGCTTTGTATTTGAAATCAATTGCGTAAAGAGGTAACGTCAAGTTTTATCTTTGCTTCTCCTTGCACCCGTACAGATTCTTTTATCCCAGGTGAATTAGTATAAAAACACTTAAAAAAAAAAAAAAATCACTGGAGTTGATAAAATATATCCAGAACTTAATCCCTATTGTATTGAATACAATTTATTATTTTTGATGCTGCAACAAATTCATAAAATAATCAGTTTTGCTTTCCTCTTACTGTGGTTTCTTTTTTTTCAAGACATGAGTTTAAAACTGTTAAAAGGGCTTGAAATTATAATAAGAAAGATAGTGTTAAGTATGCATGCACATATGTATTTTCTGATTTTGTCTTTTTCTTCTTATAGAAAATTAATATATATAAATTAAGACATATTAGCTAAGATTGTTAGGACAATATTGTCCTTTGCTTTAGCTATTACAGATGTTAGTTTTCTCACTAAGGAAAATAAGGTCTAGTTGAAATAGTTACAGCAGTAGGAAATGTTTTGAGAACATATGCAGTGCAACACACAAACTCACAAAATCTGGTACCTTTAAAACAATGAATGAAAGCAAAGCTATATCAAAGTGTGAGAACTGCGGTTTTAAAAGAATAGAAAGGAGTTGTTGTAGGTAAATTCCACTTACATGAAAGAAACATGAACATACAAGAAAGATTTTTGTTATGTGGCCTGCACTCCAATGAGTGACTGAATAATTTTTGATTGCCAGTAAGAAAAATTTATTTTAAAACCTTAGATTGTTAAAAGAGCACAGACAGAAGAAGAAAAATGCTTTTGTAAGCCAAACAAACCTGGATTTCTATCAAATTCTGTCTTGTGTCTTTTTATCTGTTTTCTCATCAAATAGTCTTGAGGGGTAATCTCATTTACTTTCATGGTTCAATTATACCTCCCTGAAAATTATTTAAACAATTATATCTGCCCTGAAATTCTCTTTGTCCTGATCAACAGACTCATACATACAAACCGTAGCTATCTTTTCTTCATAAACTTCACAACACCGATGTTGCTTCTCTTTCTGTGTTTGCTGTGTCAGGTGGGACATCACCTAGAAATATGGGAATTATCTGTACTACTCTCAATTTCCTGGTGATTATATTTTGTGGCAGAGCCCTGATGGTGCAGTAGTTAAGAGCTCTGCTGCTAACCAAAAGGTCAGCAGTTCGAATCCACCAGCTATTCCTTGGAAACCCTATGGGGCTGTTCTACTCTGTCCTACAGAGTCACTCTGAGTCAGAACTGACTCGACCGATAGCAATGGATTTGGTTTATATTTTGTGAATACTTTTAAAAATGTCTTCTTACCCCTCCATCTCCAATATCCTTAATGTCTCGCTTCGTGCACAGCTGCAATACCCTCCAAGTGGTTCTCTTGGCTTCCTGACTTGTCCTTTTCAAATCCATTCTCCTCAAGGTTTTCAAATCTCATAATATCACTCTCTTGCTTAAATTATTCAATATTTCCCCATAATTTAACAGATAAAAGATCTGACCTGGCACAGGAGACCCTCCATGACCTAACATCTACCTATCTTTTCTCTTTCCTTCATTCCTTGTTTAAGTTTCAGTCACCTACTATATATACTGATCGTTACCTTAGGCACTAGAGACACAAGAGGGAACAAATCAAAGTGCCTGTTCTCATGGAGGCTTACATTCTAGTGGTGAGAAGGCAGACAATAAACAAAGAAATAGAAGAAATGTTAAGTAACGATAAGTGCAATGAAGGAGTTTAAAAAATGTTTAGTGGCCTGGAGTAGATAATACTTGTCCTCTAGTCTATACTATAAAATTATTTCCAGTAAGAATCATGTAGTATAAATAATAATTAGTTTTTTAATTCATTCTTATGAAACAAAAAATTGACAAAGCAAAAAGAGTTTCATTAATAAAGATATTCTTCATATTTTCACTCTTTAAGATTTTAAACACAAAAACTCCAAGTGGTCCTATAAAATGAAAGAATTGAGGTAACTCATTTCACAATTTAAACAATCAAGTCTTTAAACACTGGCATGCACCTACTCCTCACTAATCAACTATCTCATTATCCAACATTTCCCATTCGTGACAACAGTAAAAATTCTACTATCCTACTATTTTGTGCATTAAGCAAGAAGCTCAGAGCCTTGGTGACTTGTCAGGTTCAGAGGGCAGAGCAGGCTCCTGGATTGTGAATGCCTTGCAGGGGTGGGAGTTGAGCCCTGGAGGTGGCTCCACAGGAGAAGCTCTCAGGCACAGGAGGAAGGTGAAGTGGTTAAGCCCTAGGCCTCCAGTCACAGAGCCTGACTTTATCCAGCTTTGTCTCCTCCAGGCCTCCTTCTCTACAGAGGAATATTCCATAACTGGACTAGTCATGGTGATGAGCACTTCAGTAAATCATGACTGTTATTGTTTCTATGATCATATTTTCTAAATTAAAAAAAAACAGACAAATGAATGGTCTAAAAACAGAAAAAAAAAAATCCTCAATTTTTACATAACACCAATTTTTGCATAACAACCTGGTCTTTGGAACCATGTCTATAAGTGAGCAGTGGATATAAGATTACAGGGGTAGAAATGTACACTGCCTGCAGGGAGCTGGCTTGAGAAATGCCTGTAGCTGAATCAGTGTGTATTAGGGATCACTGTTTAACTAAATTTTTCCAGATTAACTTCCCTGTAGAACTCACTGTTTACTAAACAATGGGTAATAAGAATGGGATAACTTCAACCTTCCACATATATACCTATATATTACATAAAATTACAATAGTATATAACATATATTATATGTTGTTGTTGTTAAGTGCCATTGAGCCAGTTCCAAATCATAGCAACCCTATGTACAACAGAACGAAAGACTGCCCAGTCCTGGACCATCCTCACAATCATTGCTATGTTTGAGCCCATTGTTGAAGTCACTATGTCAAGCCATTTCTTTGAGAATCTTCCTCTTTTTCACTGACCTGCTGCTTTATTGTATCTACTATATGTTCTACAGTAACTATAAGCATTATATTATTTAGAATTTAGACCCATGGTTACTTTATTGAGTTTTAAAATGTTGTAATTGCTTTTGATCAATTTTCTATTTATTATTTGTTCTTCATGGATTATAATATATTTATTTTCACATCAGTTTCTACTATAGCTCTTGTTTATTGTTGTGAGTTGCCACTGAGTTGGCTCTGCGTTATGGCAAAACTATATAGAACATAAGAAAACGTTGGCCGTGTAATATTTTGCCATGCAACTAAAAATTTGGATATCCTCGGGCCCACTTTATGTGATATGCAAAATACCCTTGGAAGAGATACTTATTCCTTCTATACTGATCAATAAAGACAGGTTGTATTTTATAAGACAGTTTTTTTTTTTTTCCTCAAATGCTTCTTTTTTGTTTTTGTTTTAGTACTTCTGAAATCCCTCAGTTCCGGCTGCCATATGATGTTGTGGATTTTGAGATTGAGCTTATGAAGGACCTTGGTGTAAAGGTAAATGTTGCTCAAAAAGAAAAGAGTAAGCTCTACACTAAAGATTAACAGCGAAATGTCATGCATTTTAAGAAAGAACAATTAAAAGCTACACCAGGCAGAAGCAGAAAGATGCTTCCCCTTGCTTAGGGCATTTGTCTGTCTACTGTCTGAATGCCACTAGCCTGGAAAAGGGCAATCAATAGTTCTCATCTGGCACGCCTGCATGTGATTAATTGTCTGTAAGAAACAAATTCCTAAATTGCTTTAGGGGTTCAGTGCAGCTAATAGGAGGATTTGGTTTCTTTAATCACGTTTTTTTTCATGCAAATTGTGTACATGCTGAAATATTCACATTTCACAATTTGGAGTGTGATTTCTTACAGAGGTTTGTTTTTACTCATTATATGCTTTATATTAGTAATGGTAATGTGATAATCCTTTCTCAACATAAGCACTGAGTGAGTGGGGAAAAACAACAGCTTTGTGTTATTCATTGTTTTGTGAACTAAATATTGTGTTCTTTTAAAGGTAGTTGAAAAGTTGATGCATTGTGTTTTTAATATATAACTTTTAGATGCTGCTGTTCTTTTCAGTTAATTAAGAATATTGTACTCTGGTGATCTACTTGCACATGTTGTTATTGTTGTTTTAAAAATGTTAGTTTTCCTTAGAGATATAGCACAATAGATTAGCAAAGTACTATGATTTACATAATATATTCTGTAAGTAAATGCAATAGATACTTTGAAAAGTGATTAATGAAATACTCTTGGCTCTTGCATTTAGCCGTTAAAGATTAAAATTAATAAAATGAGAAACACTTAAAACAATGTTTTTGTGATTATGCACTAATAAATAATTTTATTTGGCAGTGGTGGGGTGAGGAAACATTTAAACATAATCACTAAACATAAAGTCTGAAAGCAAGAACACAGTCCAGTTAGTCCCCGATTTAAGACATGGTTCCATTCAGGCGACTTTGTCCTAAGTCCTTTCTGACATAATTTGAATACCTCTTGTTTATTTATTTTTAGTTTTCATTATTATTGTCTTTTATTATCAGTATCTTTATAAATCTGATCATTATTTGTCCTTGGGGGTTGGAAACATTACATATAAACTTGCAGATATATTTTAATACATGCATAAAAAATACACAAATCATAAAAATTTACTCCGACGATGAAGAAGAGTTGGACAACATTGGCGTTTTGTCAGCTGCAGTAATTACTCCATTTCTGGGAGGTCTGGATCATCTGGATTATCCCTGGGAATGGGGATAGCATTTCTAGTCAGAAAATTAATTAGAGTATGTTCCTTTTCTTTTTTTCATCCTATATTTCGTGGGTAATGTCTCACTACTTCCCAAATCTGCCTGTTGACTTTAGCAAAGAGATCAGCGTTTGGGTCTGTGTTTTCAAGCAACTAAATCCCCGACTTAGTTTAGAAACAACATCTGAGAATGCTAACATAAGCAAATTGTGTACTGCAACATTGTATGTAGTACATATTATTAACAATAAGATGTACATTAAAAAAAAAAGAGGGTGGTTGAGTGCAGTTTGTTGTAAATCAAATACGTTGTAAATCGGGGACTCTCTGTATAGTTGTGCATAACTTCATGAAAAGTCAACCGTCAAAAATGCAATGTTCAACATCAATAATTTAGGGAAGATTATTTCCTTTACAAAAATATATTCTGAAAATTTATTTAAATGTCTTTTATTTTTAATATAAATTCTAACCTAAATCCCTTTAAATAAGGAAATGCTTATTTATTGAGACTTCAAACTAATAAATTAGGTGTTACTACCAATTGAAAATGAATCAGAAATTAATTTTACAAATTTCTAAATTTATTATGTAAGTAATTGGAAAGTTGCATTGAATTTTCACAGTACTAGATATATTGCATAAATTAAGACATGCTCATAATTCTTATATGAAAAGTCATCAAGATACAATAGTAGTCAATGTACTGAGTGCCAGAAAATATGTATTTTCGTTGCAATCATGCTGCTTTCTTACTTTATATTCATATAACCTTGGCAAAGTAAATTAATGCTCCTTCCTAGTCTTGGTCTGTTTAAAAATAAAAATACGCTACTACCATCTGTGTAAAATATACACATATCTGTTTATATATGCATAGAGGATCTCTGGAAAGTTATAAGAATCTCATAGAATTGATTACCTCTGGAAATGTGTGAGAAAGACTTATCATTGTTCTGTACATTTTGAATTCTAAACCCTATGAATTTACTACATTATCGAGAAAAAATTAAAACCTAAGTTATCAAAGGGGTTAATAACATTGTCTTGTCCACTTCTTATATTGTTTTAAGATGCAAAGGAGATAAAATATTCAAACTTGCTATGTGAACCATAAATCACTATCTGAGGAGATGCGGCAATGAGATCCTTCTTCAGTTCTGGAATTTCTTGCATCCGTTCACGAGACACTTGCAGTTTTTATGACCTTTCAGCTTTTGCAATAGAAGATGTTTTTAAAATGTGGTGGATAGTTGTTACCTCCTTTCCCTCACCATTCACATTCTTCTTATAATCGGCATCTGTTTGCCCTAAGTTATATATGACTGACATTATATATTTTAAACTCAACAATGATTTCCTGAAAAGAAGACCATTTGACCCCTGTGTAGCATATGACAGGCAAACATACTCACTCTTCCTCCCTCCCTCCCTCTCCTTCTTGCCTCTCTTTACTTCCCTTCCACACTCTCCTGTTTCTTCTCCCTCTTCCCCTTCCCTTATCTGTCTTTGCTTTCATAGTCCAGCATTATCTTGTTTATCCTCTTGTTCTTCTGATATGTGTTTTTCTTTTCTATTTCTAATAGTTTTGTTTCATTTATTGAACAAATAATTATGCAGAGTTTACTTTTGCTTTGTAGTATGCTAAGGACTAGTCTAACACCATCCTTCTTTCAAACTCTACTATATTCTTAGTAGTTTAATAAGCATAGCATTCAAATAACATAAACTCATCATATCTAAAACTGAATTCAATTTATCATCTTCTAACTATCTCGTTTAGATGAATTTCCTGTTGAATAATTTTATTTCATATCTGTCTAATAACCTTATGGGGTTCCTGGGTGACCCAAATAGTTAAGCACTAGACTACTAACTGAAAGGTTACTGGTTGAAACACAACCATAGGTGCCTCAGAAGTAAGGCCTGGTGATCTGCTTCCAAAATGTCACAGCCTTGAAAACCCTATGGAGCACAGTTCTACTCTGCACACACAGGGTTGCAGTGAGTCAGAATCAACTCGACGGCAACCAGCAATTTTATAGATCAGTTCTTTTTCTAAGATTTATTTTCTGTTAAGTCTCATGAATTTCTCAAGTCAAACATCATATAAGAACATAATGAAAATTTTATTTACTCTCTATTTGTATTTTACATATTTTTTTTCTTCCCCTATATCATTGGCTGGAATCTCTAGTATGTTATAAAAGAATGATGATACATGGCATTTTTTCTTGTCTCTAAGGTAGCATTTTTAATCAGATTGAATAAGTATTTATTTTTCTATTCTCATAAAAATTTTTAGTTTTTTATAAAAATAGAGAAGAGGTGCTTAATTTTTCCAACTGCCTTTTTTTAAAACTTCATTGTTGTTATTAGCTGCCGTTGAGTTGACCTGTAACTCATGGCGACCCCATGTACAAAGGGATGGGACCACCGTGATCCATAGGGTTTTCACTGGGTGATTTTTTTGGAAGGAGTTCTCCAGACCTTTCTACCTAATCAGTCTGGTAGCTCCACAGAAACCTGTTCAGCATCATTGAAACAAACAACTCTCCACTGGCCAATGGGTGCATTTTAAATAGGGACAACGGTAGGAGCCCTACTACATGGCATAACCATAAGTAACAATGCACAAGCACCAGAAGAAAAACTAGATAAGTGGGAGCTCCTAAAAATCAAACACTTATGCTCATCAAAAGACTTCACCAAAGGAGTAAAAAGACAACCTACAGACTGGGAAAAAAGTTTTGGCTATGACAAATCCGATCAGCGTCTAATCTCTAAAATCTAGGAGATACTGCAAAACCTCAACAACAAAAAGACAAGTAGCCCAATTAAAAAGTGGGCAAAGGATATGAACAGTCACTTCACCAAAGAAGACATTCAGGCAGCTGACAGATACATGAGGAAATGCTCATGATTATTAGCCATTAGAGAAATGCAAATCAAAACTTCAGTGAGATACCATCTCACCCTCACAAGGCTAGCATTAATCCAAAAAACACAAAATAATAAATGTTGGAGAGGTTGTGGAGAGACTGTAACACTTATACACTGCTGGTGGGAATGAAAAATGATACAACCACTTTGGAAATCAATTTCACACTTCCTTAAAAAGCTAGAAATAGAAGTACCATACGATCCAGCAATCTCACTCCTTCGAATATATCCTAGAGAGATAAGAGGCATCGCACAAATAAATGTATGCATGCCCACGTTCATTGCAGTACTGTTCACAATAGCAAAAAAATGGAAACAACCTAGGTGTCCATCAACAGACAAATAGATAAACAGTTTATGGTCTATTCACACAGTGGAATACTACGCAATGATACAAAACAATGATGAATCTGTAAAACACCTCATAACACGGCTGAATCTGGAAGGTGTTATGGTGAGTGAAATTAGTCACAAAAGGACAAATATTGTATGAGGCCACTGTTATAAGAACTGAAGAAAAAGTTTAAACATAGAAGAAAACATTCTTGGATGGTTACGCGGGTGTGGAGGGAGGGAGAGGAGTTTTCACTAACTAGATAGTAGATAAGAATTATCTTAGGTGAAGGGAAGGACAATACACAGTACAGAGGAAGTCAGCACAACTGGACTAAACCAAATTTAAGAAGTTTCCTAAATACAACCAAATACTTCGAGGGACAGAGTAGCAGGGGCGGGGGTCCAGGGACCATGGTTTCAGGGGACATCTAGGTCATTTGGCATTATAAAGTTCATTAAGAAAATATTCTGCATCCCAGTTTGGTGAGTGGCGTCTGTGATTTTAAAAACTAGTGAGCAGCCATATAAGATGCATCAATTGGTCCTAACTCACCTGGAGCAAAGGAGAATGAAGAACCCCAAAGACACAAGAAAAATATTAGCCCAAGAAACAGAAAGGGCCACATAAACCAGAGACTCCATCAGCTTGAGACCAAAAGAACTAGGTAATGCCCAGCCACCACCAATGACCTGTCCTGAAAGCGATAACAGAGAGTTCCTGACAGAGCAGGAAAAAAGTGGGGTGCAGAACTCAAATTCTAGTAAAAAGTCCAGACTTAATGGTTTGACTGAGACTGGAGGGACCCTGGAAGAGATGGCCCCCAGACCCGCCGTTAGCCCAGAACTGAAACCATTCCCGAAACCAACCTTTCAGACAAAGATTATGCTGGACTAAGGGACAAAAAATGATACTTGTGAAGAGAGTGCTTCTTAGCTGAAGTAGATATATGAGACTAAATGGGCAGCTCCTTTCTGGAGGCGAGATGAGAAAGCAAAAAGGAACAGGAGCTGGTTGAATGGACATGGGAAATCCAGGGTGGAAAGTAGGAGTGTGCTGTCTTAGTATAGGGAGAGCAGCTAGGGTCACATAGCAATGTTTGTATAAATTTTTGTATGAGAAACTGACTTGAACTGTAAATTTTCACTTCAAGCACCATTTAAAAAAAAAAACAACAGCAATATCCTGTTTAAAAAAAAGTACAATTAAAAAAATTTTTTAAAAAGAATATTGTCATGAGAGTTATCTTTTGTACTGAATTTGAAAATTTTATCTTTCTGATTTCAAAGCGTTTTTTTGAGAGACAAAACTTTGACAATTTTTTTTCTTCATTGTTTCCATGGTTATTGGTCTTTCCCATTTATTTTACTCTCACCTCAATTTGGCCAGTATGTATTTTCTACAAACATCTTCCATTTCATTGAGACTTTTGAAATTATTAGCCCGTATTTAAATATGTGATTCTCTTATTTAAAAAAAAAAAAAATCCCATCTTTACCTGTGGATATACTTACTTTCTTATTTTTAAAGTTGTACATTGTGCTGTTTTTACTTTTTTTTTCCTGGATAATTCTAGATAGTGGTTTCTTGACTTCTTTTCTTGATAGTACTAGATAGTAGCTTCTCTCATTAATGTATTCTTTCGAAGAACCAGCTCTCAGAGTTTTGTATTTTTTTATTCATTAATTACTGACTTCATCTTTATTCTTTCCTCCTATCTTTACACTTATTCGTTATTCTTTTTTAACCTCTTGAGTTTCATACTTTTCATTTTTCTAGCTTGAATAATGAAAGCATTTAAGATTCTTAATTCGTCTCTGAATAAACCATGTCAGCATCCATAAGTTTTCATTATTTTACTATTGTTATTTTTCTTGAGTAATTGTAGCTTTGGTTTTCTTTTTTACACCAGAGTTGTTTCTGCATTTTTAATTTATTTAGTTTGGTATCTCCTTTATTTGTATATACTACTTTAAAATAGGAGTTCCTTATCCTTTTAGCAGATTGTCTTCTTATATTTTCAATTGTTTGTTTCATAGATTATTTTCTTCTTGATTTTTAAGAACAAAAAAGCAGATGTCTAATATTCATTATTGGTTTGGAAGTAACTTGTTTGTACAAATTAGTTTTTTTAAAATTTCATCAGTGATATGATCTTCTTTTATGTTTCAGAATGTTTTCATAGTTCTTATATCTCATTTTGTTTTATTTTATTTTTTTCCTTTTTGCCATTCTTGAACAAAGGGAGGTATATGAATCCTAGTATTTTCTTACAGAGGGAATTAGAGAATTTCTCTTAAGTCTGTTCACTATCTACCTTGATTTTTCTTAAAATCATTTTTTAGTTTTTGAATTCTGGATCCTGGTTGATTAGGATATACCAGTTAGTTCAGTTGATCAGCTTCTGAGGAGTATGAGGAAAACACCATGGTTGTGGGTGATGCCACATACAGTATATAGATTCTTCTATTTCTTTTCTCTCTTGGCTTTTGCACAGGGTCCAGCTTTCTGAATGTCGTTTTCTATTTTGATTGGACTCTATTTTATGGGCCAAATTGGCAGCATCTGCTTCTTCTTACTATTATTAGTCATTGTGGTAAGGAAGTACATTTCTGATATCTGCTTGAATCATTTCTCATCAAGTTGACTCTGACTCATGGTGACCTCATGTGTGTCAGAATAGAAATGTGCTCTATAAGGTTTTCGATTGCTGATTTTTTAGAAGTAGATTGTCAGGCCTTTCTTCTGAGTTGCCTTTGGTGGGCTCGAACCTCCAGCTGTTGGGTCAGCAGGTGAATGTGTTAACCATTTGTATTACCCATAGTGTATTTGATTATACATTGAGCCAGGTGCTGGTTCTCCTTCATCATTTTATTGTTTAAGGTGCCCAGCATAGTGTATTGAGCATTTTAAGCAAGCTGTGAAAGTTTATTGACCTAATTTTAATTACCCTGGCTTTGTTCCTGCTACTTCATTAAAAAGCAAAAATGCATTTAATTCTTAAATAAATCATGTTAGTATTCTATATATTATACAGTTTGCTATATATGTAAGCCCATCTATTAAAAGACAAAAATGGTTTCATATATACATATACATACACACACATAGAAAGTTAGCTTTTACTGTGTTTCCATTCTTTTTCATGTTAAAGATGAAAGTTTTAATTAAGGAAATATTGAAATAAACTATTCAAAATGTTATTTCTTATAGATAATTTGTGGTAAAAGCCTTTCAGTGAATGAAATGACTCTTAGCACTTTGAAGGAAGAAGGCTACAAAGCCGCTTTCATTGGAATTGGTGAGTAGCTTATGTTTAAACATTTTTATCTATAATATTATTGTTTTTATTTTGCAACAATACCCAGAAGAATGATTGTCTTCAGACATTGTCAGGATGGATGTTATATCTGTTCGGGGACTAGTAGACAGATATGAGTGGCCAAAGAAACTGAATTTCTGTTTTAGAACTACTTTTGTTGCCCCTTCATATGGAAAGACTTTGGCAAGACCTTTATTGTGGATAGACTTTGGCAAGACAGTCTTTCTCTCCCGTTCTCTCACCACATCATCATCACCAGTGGACATTCTATAGGAAGCAAAATGTTTTCCAGTCATGCCACAGAAGCGCAGACACTGGTCTCAGACATGAGGAATGCAGTTATGTTCCATTTCAGTATTTTGTATGAAATATATACAAGAAAGTTTCATCTTGTCATTCTCATTATTGTATAACAATTTGACTAAATTATAATAGAGGACAGAGTTGGTTCTTTTTCTTTTTTATGCTGTTTTTTTCCCAAATTTTTTCTACAGACTTTTCATATTAAGCTGAATTTCGAGGATGTTCAGTCATACTTGTGAAAGTCACATGGACAAGGTATAGCTGCTAAGGTTCTTAATATTTCTTATAGTTCCATGCTTTGCCTAAATAGCCCAGAAATGACTGAACTTTCTAAAAATTTCCTTCCACTTACTTTTTACTGAGACCAGGAGAGAGAGAGAAACAAGAAAACAAACAGTTCTTTTAATTTGATATTTGTCTGAAGAATTTTGTATTCATTCCCTCATATGATACTGTGGACAATTATGCAAACTAAATATGTTCAATTGTTACTGATTTTTAACTCTTGTTACTAAATTTTTATTTAAAAAAATTTTTTGATGCTATGTATTTTCACTTATTATGGCATGCTGATTCAAAAACCAATCCGGAAATTTTGATATGAGTTATGGATTTTGAGATATATGATCTGGTAATACAAGCCACCAGTAAGGTTCGTGACACTGTGGCATCATTGATTTATGACAATATACCAGTAAGAACTAAATAGATAGTTTATTGCAAGCACCTTTCCATTAGGCATCCCTGGTGGTGCAGTGGTTAAAGCATTTGACTGCTAACCGAAAGATCAATGGTTCAAAACCACCAGTGGCTTCAGAGAAGAAAGATGTGCTTCTGTAAAGATTTACAGAGTTGAAAATCCTATGGGTTTGCTGTGAGTTGGAATTGACTCCGTTTCAGTGGGTTTCATTTGTTTTTTCCATTAGGTTACATGGGGAACCTCTGGTTTTCCAAATACGACACAGAAAAACCAAAAGAAACCCACCAGGGCTCCCTAAGTATCACACAGGAAAACCATAATTATGCTTGCAAGCCTTATCTCACAGAAATAAAGGAAAAAATGGCAAAAGTTTACAAAACTAACACATCCAGGAAGCATCAACCTACACAACAATGAGGCTCCAACTCCATTCTCCTGAGCTTCATGCATTTCAAAAAGGACCCACCTTGATGCTAAATGCTTTAGAACCAGAATAACTACCTAAGAGGTTCAGAGGCATAAAAAGTGGCATATTGTACAATAGTAACGAAACTAACATAAGTCCCTCCTCGTGTCTTTTTCTTTGTCTCTTCTGTACTTCACACTCTTTGAATGTGAATATCTAACAAACCTACATAAGGATGAAAACTGTTCCATCTCTAAGTGATTGCACACTGAATGACATTTGTTCTGGGCTTTCCTATTTCATTGCACTTCTAGGGTGAAATCCTCAGAAGTACTTCTCAGCCTACTAAATTTTTCTCATCAGAATGCAATGTATTCTCTTAGTAGACAATTGCTACCAAGTTTAAGACCATCTCTAAAATTCCCTTTATAGGTATGAAACGTTATGGAGGAAATAATACATTTTGTACTGTCGTTTAGCTCCTCAATGTCTGTATTCAACCTTCTTCCTTTCAGAAACTTGAAAGTGTCATTGCCATTGGGATTTCTCTACATTATCTTCATTTAAGTACAGTTATCATGGTATATACCAAGACTAGGAAGGATAAAAGGTCTGATATTTTCCCTAGGTTCCACTTTTAGAGTGCTATACCTGACTTTCATTTAACTTTTTAGCATTACATTTGGTTGAGAATTTAACCTAAAGAAGGAAGTATCTATTGAGTATATTCTCCTAATGTCAGAAATATTAGATCAGTAAGTTCCTGTTACTCTCAGCAATCAAATGATCAAAAATGCTTTGTCAATAATATGTGGAAAAAATTTAATCAGTAATAGGGTGTGAAATATTGATGATGTTATAAAATAGCTATTTTTATTCACCCTTGTGCTTTCCTGTTTTCAACTGATGGAAGAGTATGTACTAATACAGACATGTATATCTCCATGAACTTTGTCTATAAAGAGTCCAAGTACTGAAGACATCGGGGCCAAATAAATAGCCAATACGTTGCAATATCTCAAAATGAATTGCCTAAGGAGCAAGTTATTTCAAAATTTGGAATGATTAAATGGTTTATCACTCTGAATGGTTGTAGCTTTAGGAGACATCTTCCATTGCAAGAGTCAATAATAGTTTAGCTTTTTTATTTTGCTTCATTTCATCAAGGTTCCTTACATATGCTATTTGATAATCTTACACTTGTTCACAATACAGTGGCCCCCATTTGACTCTGCACTGAGGTGTTAATACAGCATTTAAAATGTGGAATCCTTTCATATTTATGTGGCTGTGCATTTTCATGCTGAGAAGTGAATCTTTTGACATTTTGGTGTAGTGATGTGAGGAATGCAGTTATGTTCCATTTCAGTATTTTGTATGAAATATATACAAGAAAGTTTCATCTTGTCAAAAAAGTAAATAAATAAGCTTCAATCTGTAGAAGACAAGTAGCTTTATCCTCCAGGAAATTTTTGACACTCTTTGATTGCTGATTTGGGAATTTATGACCTTTCTGTTAACCGTATAACTGTCTATTACTTGGGCAGCCTCACATCCTTGCATGCTTTTGTTCATTAATCATGTTTCTATATTGTAAATAAAGTTTACTCACTTATCTACTCCTTTCCCACGGAGTTTGGATGTGTAAATGTTGGAATAGGAATTCTGTATTATTTAGGATGCAGGTTTGGCTGCTTTAACAAAAGAAATCAGTAGAAGCTTAAACAAGATATATGTTTAGTTTTCTCTTAAATAACAGTATGAACCATTCTCAACACCTGACTTCCATTATTTGGTCAATAGGTTGTCAACATGTCTGCATTTACAGCTAACAGAAGTAGGAAGGAAGGAGGGGAGCTTCTTTCCTTTTAAGTTCATGACTTAGAAGTTTCACCTATCACTTGTGCTTTAACTTATTGTCTAGAACCTGGTCATACAAACATACTTAACAGCAAAGGGTACTGGGAAATGTAGTATTTAGATGAGTGGACACATCCCCATTAATCTTCTATTACTGTAGAGGGAAGGGATAACAGATATGGACTGGGGAGACAAAATCTTTGCCATAAGTCAAAATCATCATTGGCATGTGATGTACAGGCTTCCTTATGAAAGATATCAGTAAAGCACTTATTAGCACAGAAGACAGTCTAACAGCTTAATGATTGCATGTTGATTAGGTAGGTCACTTAATAAAATGGATATGCCTTCTCTTTCTGTTTTTGGGAATGCCATAGTTATAGATCGTCTGTATGTATAACTACTGTCTCATTCTGTGTTTATCTAAAAGAAAAAATTGCCTTTATTATTTATTAAATATGAATTATTAAGGATAATTCAATAAACCCATAGTATTAATATGTGTTTTCATATTCTTGATTTTAATATTGTATGTGATGTTATTCGTGTAAATGTCACCCAGTTTTAGATTTTTCCCTAACTAACGCTGACAGAGTTCATTTAGGGAATTATCTGAGAGTATACACGTAATTATGATTCTTAAAGAGTTATTCTCTTTACCCATGAGAAGTTTAGTTTCTTGGTAGTCTGAGTAAAATCCTGCATGTTAGTCAAAAATGGGTTGAATTGTCTTTGAGATAATTGGAATTTATTTTAAAGACTCTAAAATTTGGTATTTTTAGTGAAATAAAATCACCTGCACAGCGTGTTACTGTCAATGTTCAGAAATAGACTATTTACTAAGAAGACTTTTTCTAAGTACTGAATGGCTGCCTTTGACTGGTATAGAAATCAATATGAAGGGTCATAACCATCATTTTTTTTTTTTTTATTTTACAAAAATGAACAGAATAGAATAAAAATATCCAAATGTGTTGCACATGGTTAGGGTAAGTGTCATTTTGTGAAAATATTTTTTCATTTGTGTATGTGTTTGCTTTTGGTGCATGTATTTGCACACACACACTGAATTATATGTAAAATCTATTCTGTAAATGCAGCTTAGTGGTCAAAAAAGTTTGAAAGCCACTTCTCTACATTGTAAGGGCCTTGAGGTACTAATCTTTTTTCCGTAGCATGCTCAACACCTATCAGTACATACCTGTTAAGTGAATTAAACAATTATTGAATGACTACAATGTGCCAGACACTGTGCTAAGAATTAAAAATATACAGAAATTTGAATTCAGTTTTAAAATTTTTAACTTAGTTTTAATTCAAGTCAGGTAAATCATAAGAGATTCAATCAGGACAGTCATATTTCACAATTCAAGAAGTAGGACATGGTGGAGATTGGCTGGGCATGTATATCCATAGATACATATTTTTTATTTAATGTTCTTTGGGTGATTATATTGTACAGCCAGGTTTAAGAACCATGGCTCTAGACGACCACATAACTGAACCCTTAGTCTTTGCTTCAGAGGAGGCCATTTCCCTTTCCCTTTCTGATTGTCCATCTATGCTAGTTTCCCTCTTCTATTCTCACAAAACATGGCAGTGTTAAAAAGGTTCAAGAAGCATGCAAAGAAAAGAACAACTACTGAAACATCATGAGATAACTGGTAAAATTTTATATATTCTTCTAACCAAAGTTTTTTGTTTTTTCAC